CCCCCCCCCCCCCCCCCCCCCACACACACAGGTTTGTAATTATATCTTTGTGGAGAATTTCCATTCATTTCCATGGGGAAAACTCTAATCCCAACATGATGACCTTAACCCCTACCCAGGCCTGACCTTAACCACAAGTAATCAAACACAATACGAGACTTCTGGCATTTTTAGTTTTTTGATTGCAGTCACAGATCTTTGTGGGGACCCGAAAAATGGTCCCCGCAACGTAAAAATAATATAATATGTATATATGTAATATAAACATAATCCTCACACACACACACACGCAAACTTGGGAAGAGAGGATCTCACCGTCCACACGGCGCCATGCCCCCCCACATCGGATCAGCTCCGCTTCAGGGCTACTGGGCTTGCCGTCAGGTGGTGTGTTTGGCATAAGGCCCCGGTGGGGGCCCGTTACCGCGGGCTTAGCATGCTGACTTGCTAGGTGATGAAGCCGCTTGACCCACCCACAGTCCCAGAGACCTTTCCAGAGGGACTCAGTCTGTAGAGCGTTCCCTCCAAGTACACCGCCACCTGCTGGTCGGTTTGTTTTACTGCCACTAAACTGGCTGTCACCCGTTCTGCCTATGATTAAGCAGGAACTGTACTTTTCCCTTTCTAGCATTTAAGGATGACATACTCCTGAGAGACTCGTAGACTAGTGCAGACTTTATATGGCTCCATGCTGCCCCCGGTGTCTCGGTGGGGCAGCACCAAATACCGTGAGGAATTTACCCGAATCAAGACTCAGCACTCCCTTCACCCCACCCCCACCCCTCCTCCTTCCTGATGAGGGTGAAAAAGTGCACATCCGTGGCACGTGATTGGCCTCCTGAAGGCGCGCCGCTTCAGTTGCTACGCGACTCCACTGTTACCCGGGAGACGGTCGTCAGCCACTGAGAGCGGAGAGTAAGGGTGCGTCGTGCTCCCCCAGCTGGGTGATGGAATGCAACTAAACGCCTTCCCTGCGATAGGCAGCAACTGTTGAGGGCGGGGGGGCAGGCGGCAGAGGCCGCTGGAGGGACCCCTACAGAGACGGCAGTGAGACAGACCCGAACCGACGCCATGTGGCCACAGGCCGGCTTGCTTTGCGTTTGCGCTTTCCCACAAATCCTTGTTATTCTTGCTAAACTCACTATCACCTGTTCTCTCGTTAGGCTAATTGATGATGCATTTAAACACGGGGAAAGCGTGGTCTTCCTGTCTGCACCCCACCAAGGACTGTCGGTGGGTACAGATCCTCTGGTGTCCTCAAAGCTTGTGGCCCGGAGGCCAGTCACTGGGGCCTGGGTGTCCTCTGCTTCAGCCTGTCACGTGCTCAGAGATTCATTTCCAAGGGGAAACTATTCAGCAGTTAGATAGATATAGGGAGTCAGGTATTTACCCATGAGTCCCTTGGCAAAGATAAATAACGCCAACAAGGTCAGTTAAACAAAAGAACCGTTTATTGGTGATGAACAGCTGCTATGATAATTTGCATACACAGTCTGGCATCCCCATGCCAGTACCGCCGCCAAAGCCGAACAATCCCTCCTCACATCAGGGCCATGCACCCCCCCGCCCAGCCCCACGATCACAGCAATGCACAGCCTGGTAACGCACGTCGTCCTGTGATTGGGGTGGAACATCGGAGTGTTTTTGTTGCGTTTGAGGGTAAAAGGAGGAACAACAGCAGCCATTGAGTGGCCACTGATCCCCCCCCCCCCCGCCCTCAGTCTCCTGCTGACCAGTGCAAGAAGATCCACGCTGGAGACGAGGTCATCCAGGTCAACCATCAGACTGTGGTGAGTTTCCTGGGTTGTGGGTGCTGGCTTGATGGCCTCTTGCCTCATGTTGGCAGAGAGGAAGGAAACATAGAGGATTCGGCCATGATTGCCCCCTATTATTAGTCGTTTACCATGTAAATGCCCCGGTGGCCTCCGCGCTTGTGGTCAGAAGGTTGAAGGTTCGACAGGTTTGACAGAATAGCGTAACCATTGGGCCCTTGAGCAAGGCTTTTAACCTCACAAAATACTCCAGGGGCTCCAGATGAACATGAAAGCTGACAAGAGGCATTCAAATACACGTATACTTTTGCAAATGACAAATAATTCAACTAAATTCAATTTCAGTTAAAATAAAGAGGAGTAGAGTATCATGTGTATGAAGGAAGACCTTTTTGTGCCATTAACAAATGCAGAAAAGCTTAGTGTGGGACATTGTAAGTACAATTATTCCCGCTGTAGTTAAATGTTAATTTTCCTATGATCCGATCAGTAGGGCAGAAATATTGAACTGTAAGCAGTTATAGTAGTCCCTTAAGTGCCTCTATACTATGTACCATGTATACAGTATGTGTTACCACCTAAGTAAACACACAATTATTATATGTACATAGGGCGTGGCCCAACCCACTGCTCTTTTGGAATTTTGCTATACCCCTTAGAAACATACTCCTGTGGCCCCCGGTTTAATGCGACGCCTCGATACCCCAGTACCGCGATGTAACAAATCTCCAAAACTCCCTGGTCTGCCATAAATGGAAAATATTGCACACGCAGCTAATGTAGTTATTTGGCCGATCCAATTAGCTCGCCAGCTCCTGCCAAGAGGTGAGTTCAGCATAGTGGTCGGCGGCCATCCCAGACAGCGACCGCCTCTTAAAGGAGAATACCTCTAAAAATTATCTCCACCGGCTCAGTCTACCCTCCGTCAAATTATGAAGATTTACGGGTCTAGAGGAAAACAGATCGGAGGAACACGGAACGGGATCTGCGACTTCCTGTGCCATTGGGTCTCACCTCTTGAAATGAAACGTTCTACTTTGAGATTTGAAAAATGGAACTTAGCTCTGCAGCCATACTCTGGGTGTGTGAGTTCCTGATTTCCATCTGCAAGTCAGCAGTTCAACTTTGTCTGTGCCCCCATAGGGTGACATCTATAGAAACGTGTGGCTCTGGGTGCTAAAGCCATTTACTTGTAATTGGAAGGTCAGTGGTTTGAGCCTGGCATCTGCAGAACAGTCACATGTTCATGGATCCTTGATCAAGGTCCTTAATCCCCAACTCCATGGGCATCTGCAGGTGGCTGCCCTTCTCTGCCCAGTTTGCTTCCCACCTCCATGTGTGTCACTGAGAGCAAGACAGGGCTGGAAAAAAGGCAATTTCTGCACTGGGATCAATAAAGTGTCATCATTATTATTGTGAATCCTTTGTGCTGTGAAAGTTTGAAGGTTCGAGTAGACCAGTGGTTCTCATACTGTTGTGCGGTAATTTGTTGTTGTGATTCACATTACTGTGATTTTTTTGTCACCCCCTGGTTCTTGGCCACTTTGGTTTCCAAAGTGGTACTTGGTCCAAAAGGTTTGAGAACCACTGGTCTGGAAAATGGCTTAATTCTCACCACACTCACAGTTTCTGCATTCATCTTGTGGCCTCTTCTCTTGTGGAAGCTTCTCTTCACTGAAGGGTTAAGGTTTCAAAAATGCTGCTCAGTTTTCCATTTTTATAAAATATTTTTCCCTCCTTATACAGTAAGTCAGATATAAGCATGGTTACATCATTGCTGGTTTGTGTGTCCATAGTCCAAGTGTCCTGGGGCTTCATTTTGACCAGATAGTCAGAGTCCATAAATGGTAACATTCGTGCAGCAGAATGTCCTTGAACCGTAGCCAAAATTTGTCCGTCATCCTGAAATCGTTTTAAAAAATTATCACCAAGGAGAGATTGGATTTCTCAAGTCGACTCCCATCTTGCATTCATTAATTCATCTAAACTGCGTGACATGACCACCTGGGCAACGGGCCAGTCGGCATCTCGTTCACGCCGCTCTCCGCCACCGTTTCACATGGCAGGCTCTTGCATGTCCATGTCAGCGTTTCTCGCCTTTTCTCCTACCCTTTTTCACATCCCCTAACCCATTTAAATACCCGGGGAGCCCCAGCAGGAATCAGGGGAACAGGGGCTGATACCCATCGACTGGAAGAGTTAGCGGTAGCTAATAATTATCTGTTCGCTATGTGGCTCCCGTCCAGGGCCTCCTGTGTTCCCTGTGTGAGACGGACGGCTCAAAATCACGGAAAAACGTATTTGTGACTGGTGTTTTTTTCTTTTTCCATTTTCCGAATTTGAATTAGCTAGCGCTTTTCTTGGGACGCTGCGTGCGTGCTGGGAATGGCAGCGTATCCAGACGTGCGCAGGCAGGCAGCCTCTGCATGTGGCAGCTGTGTTTTAAGTTTCTAAACGAGAGTGAGGTCTCTCTGCGGTGAATCTGCGGTGAGTAGTTCACCGTGCTCTTAACGAATGTTGTGCTTCTTTCCGGTGTATTATTTTAGTCTTTCCCCATCGATGCTAAACCCGATTAGGTCCCTCAGTCCCCATTTTTGCCAGTGGGATGGAGAAGCAGCACAGGCGTCTGGGAAATAAGCATGACATGATGGCATCTTCATGCACATCTGGGCGAGGACGATCATAGACATTGCCTTTTTAGGTTACGAAGATCAAGATACAGTGATGCAGTCCAACCTAAACGTGCGTGAGATGGAACGTCACTCAAGTTTTTGGGAGGCTTCTTTCTGAGATTTGTACCGGAAATTTCTACCATGACTGAAGCATCCCTATCCCAATTATATGTTATTGTAACCATCACCCTTCGTACATGTGGTTCAAATAAGCTACAGAAAACCTGCTTGTAAATCCCATTTGTTCTGACACCACAACCGTAGTTAAGTCAGGTAGTGAAGTCAAGCTTTCAAGGCATGTTCAGTAGGGTAGATGCCAATGCAGTGCCCTAGGTAAGCTTCAACGTAAGTGCCCCCCCCCCCCGCCATTGCCAGGAGGCCAACACTTGAAGTTGCCAACTGTGGGGGTGCCCATGCTATTCTATTTAGTGCCCATGGCTGATATTGCCCTTGCCAGGTTCTGCCACTGGCATTGTGGAACACCTGACATCCAACCTTCGCTATCCTAGATCCAACTCTACCTTGTTCTTTCATGATTTTTGTGTCTTTTCACAGTCAGATCATTTCCTTTGTGCACCTCTGATGATCTAATTTGCCGGCTTGATGTGCTTGCTCTCAGCCGCCCCCCCCCCAGCTGAGATCTCCGTCCCTAATGGGACGACTCGCTCCGTCCCCGGCCACCCTCCAAAGGAGTCCATCAATTGGTGATTGATTCTGAGAGGAGAAGGCGAGTGATGAACAGAAGATGAAAAAAGAATTACAGGCAGAATGACTTTGAGAGCTCTTCAGCTGGTGTGCTCCTTTAAGCTCATTACAGTCTGTGTTTCTTGGATTTAACAACTATGAAAATTAGTTTTGGTCTCAAAAGGTTGTACTTAATGTACAATCAAATGGATGCTGGTATTGAAATCATTCACTGATCTGAAGTTTCAGGTTTCTGTATGTGTGTGTGTGCGCGCAGGCATATTTGCCTAGCAACCAACGATAAGTGAATCGCGATTACTTCCTTTCCCTAAGAAGTGGTCTTTAGTGATGTAACCAGTTACCATGGGATAATAAATGAGAACAGATGTACCAAAAAAATCCATCATAGTGAGTTTTAGCCCAAATTGTACTGAGTGTAGCCCGTCTGCTAAATGAAGGGATAGCACAGGTGGCGGCCATCTTGTCGTCTGGCTTGGGGCACGTCTTGTTTGAGGCAGCCTGTTCCGTGTAGACCGCCGAGCCGCGTATGTCTGACGAGCCTCAATAACCCATCATTTTTATCCACAATGCAATGTGATGCGTTGCTCACCATTAAGGAAGTCCATTAGCATGTCGCTGCATATGCGATAGAACTCTCAATTGACACCAGCGGAAGGGGAAATGAAATTCGGATGGGGAAGTGAAACTCTTTGATCTGCGGAGCGAAAAACTGCTGCGGTTCCTCGCCACGGTGTCTGCCGCCATCTGACTGCATTAATACAGGTCCCGCTAATTGCTACCTCCGCTGGTACATGCCACCAAATGTTAACAAACTGGCTTTAAATAATCACCGTCGATGAGCCACTCATAGGGAGTATAATTTATCTTTTTTTTTGGGTGAAGGAGTGTTGAAAATGTCATCCGTTCACTTAGCGCGGCGGGAATTTGTCGCTTATGTGTTTAGCCGCGATGTCAATGCTCTGAAAATAACCGGGGGTGTGTTCCAGCTGAGCAGTGACAGCATGTTGGTGTTTGTTGGGGGGGGGGGGTGTTATGGAAAGGCTAAAAGGCTGACTGGGATCCGGCTGGTGACGCTGCAGCTGAATAATTCATTGTGTTTTGAGATAAGTTACATTTTTAATATGGCCGCTTTGATACGGGTAGGGAGGCTGAGCCCTGTGCCTTAATCAAGTCAGCCTGGGGTCTGCTGTAACCTCACTCTGGCCCTCCCCCTGCCTAATGCTCTGAGATGATCATAGGGGAGACATTGGGGGCAGAGGGGGATTCATATAAACTTACATACTCTTCCCTTGGGTGTGGTGTGCAGCTCAGCCGGCTAGGTCTGTGTCTGTGATCAGAAGGTGACTGGTGCAAACCTCATCTTTGGCAGCACATGTTTTTTTTTTTCGGCCCTTGAGAAAAACTTAACCCCCCCCCAGAAATTCTTCAGGGGTGCCAGACCCTGCCATGAGATCTTAAGCTTCGCTCTCACCGTATGTGCGTGTATGTTTCAGAAAGGAGAGCTGATGTACCTGTGCAAATGGCAAAGTAAAAGGCATGTGTTATATGTAAAGAGCACCTGTTTGGACACACGCACCGTTCCCAGCGTGCAAACGCACACACGTTCTTGCCCACGAGGGGGTTCGAGGCACAAGGTGGTGTCTGCGAATGTCGAATCAGACTGTGGGCTAGTCAGCTAGTCAGCTAGTCAGCTCCCCTGACAGTATTGCAGGCAGGGATTATACAGACGGGCACACAGCACTTGGGCTCCAGGCTTTGACAAAATCTAGACATTGGACCTGAAAGCGCATAACTATACAGTAAATAACACTTTTTTCCTTGACCCTGTTAAGAACGGTTCCCATGTCTCGGCGAGGCGGTTGCGTATTTGATCAGAACCCTGAGCCGCATACGTGCACCGTAGAGTCCCGCTGCTGCTGTTGGCGCGTGTGACGCGGCGTTGGCGTCTATGTGGTTCCGGCAGCCGGCTTTGAGCGCGGCGTCTTTATTGTGCTTGAGACTGGTGGCTGGAAATACGACGCCTTCGGTGTTTGGGGAATGGGTAGTGACAGCATACAAATCCGGCGAGGCCCAGATCGCACGCACACACGCACTCACACTTCTATCACTAGGAAAACCACAGGTAACGCTCCGTCATGACTGGTATGGTGGGGTTTTTTTCATCTGTGCTTTTCCACCCGATGATTCCCGAGGTGTCCGGGAAGTTGGTGCGTCAGAGGCATCTGAGTGGCCAGTTTTGGGTACTATGGTGGCTCAGTGGTTAGCGATGTTTCCTCACGTCGCCAGTGGCGGGGGTTTTAATCCTAGCCCCAGCAGTATGTGTTCAGTTTGCATGTTCTCCCTGTGTTTGTTGGGGTGTCTGTTGGCAATAGGATAGGCATTTCCTACAGGTGCTCTGGTTTCCCCCCCCTTTGTTGTCAAAAAATGTACTGAAGTGAATTGGAGTTGGCAAAGGTATGAATGGCATGTGAGTGAATGGCATGTGACTGTGCCCTGCAATGGGTTGGTGCCCCATTCTATGTTATTCCCTGCCTTGTGCCCGTAGCTTCCCAGATAGACTCTGGGCATCTCTAAATTACCCTCTGATGCGCTGGCATCCTGTTGAGAGTGTATCCACCTGTCTTGTGCCCTAAACCGCCTGGAATAAGATCCAGACTCACTGGCACTCTGTACTGGATAAGTGGTTATTGAAGATGAATAACAGACCAGTCACTAACAATCATGAAAGATGAAACATCAGAGCCTGTAAATGATAGGGGACTATTCTGCTGAGGAGGGGATTCAACCCCACACCCTTCTGATTGCCGGCAGAGAGGCCTTAACCCACTGAGCCACACACCTCTTCAAAGCAGCTACTGCAACTCTTTAGCAGAAGAAGGAGATGTTATTGATTCGGGGGTGGGCTATGTTTATGTATACTTCTGGGGATGGTTTAACCCAAGAGCAAAGACCCTAACTTGCCGAAAGACATGCGGATGACAGATCAAGCCCTATAACAACTGCTTGGGACTAAGCAAAGCTGCTCAGTATAGCTTTTCATCCTTTCCCGAATGCATCCCTGGAATACGGATACGACGCTGCGACAGGGAAGAGGGGGAGACGGCAGCTTTTAGTTGGAATTTGCTGCGGCAGCCCAGGCGGCGAAATGAGCCCTCCGGGGGGGATGAATCTCATCCATCTGTGACAGGTCAGCGCCGGGAGCTCCCCCCGGTGGCCGCTGCCTGTCGCACCAGCTGTCCGCCCCCAGAATTGGCGTGCTCACCCAGGAGACTCGGGCGAGGCACTGAGCTCCGAGCGCCATGGGGGCCTCTGACAGCTCATCAGCGGGGGTCAGGGACAGCGGGCTTGCGGTCCTCCTCCTACACGGGGGGTTAAAGACTCTCTGACCGGGTCGCCACCACCCATCAGGAACCCGCTGACCCCATGAGGCTCAGAAGAGCTCAGTCTGCCAAACAGAATGAACAGACGCGGGAAAGTTTCCTGCTCTTCTTTGTCCTTCTCTCAGTTCATCCATTAATTATGAATCTGTTAATTGTAGCCCATGTGTGTGGCTCAGCAGGTCATCGGAAGGTCGCCAGTTCAAATCCCATGGTCAGCAGACTGATTTCACTGTTGGGCCTATAAATAAGGTCCTGAAGCCCCGCTCGCTCCCGGGACTGGGTGACCCTGCTTCTCGATTGTATGTTGCTTCGGATGAAAGTGACAGCTAAATAAATGTATTCTCAGTTATGGTGCTGTTAGTCTTGTGTCACGTGATCCTATTCGTGACGGTACTTGCAGTGCAGAGATGTTTATGGCTCACAGGCTCTCGACCCCCACGACCCTGCATAGGACAAGCGGGTATGAAAGATGGAAGTATGGATGGAGGATGCTGTTCATAGGCTGATTCTGGTCCTTCTGCTTCTCAGGATAGTTACGGTATCAGCGATCATAGTTAATGCAGCTGTTCTGGTCACATACCTTGTAGTACAGTTCGGTTGTGGTCCAATCACTTGTGAAACTTGTGTTCCTGATTTTTAGGGTCCATAAATTATAATCATGAACATTTTTCCAAACTTTTGTTTTTGTTTTATTCCTAATACTTTATGTAATAGCTACATATTGTGACGCATTATTGCTAACATCTTCATTGTCATATGTCCAAAGGTCTTTCCTCGATTTTAATTTGATTTTTCTTCCATTTAATTCTTAATTCTATTAGTATTATCTAATAGAATTAATATACACATGCTGGATTGATGTTTCCTTTTGGTTGGGTTTCAGCTTCAGAGTAGCCAGCTGCAGTGAGGCCTCCTATGCAGTAGGGGGCACTTGGCTGGCAGGAGCACGGTTTCGTGGCATTGGTGTCTGTGCTTCCGCAGGTGGGCTGGCAGCTGAAGAACTTGGTCAACGCTCTCAGAGAGGACCCCAGTGGCGTCATCCTCACCCTGAAGAAGAGGCCGCAGAATACCCTGACCTCTGCCCCCGCCTTGCTCAAGAATGCTCGCTGGAAACCTTTGGCTCTCCAGGTACTTACACGCACCCCCCCACCCCTGCTTCTTCCAACTTCTCATGAACACCTGCTCCATGTATCCAGGCCAATCAGCTTCAGCATCATACCGCTGCCAGAAGAACATCTGATGATTTACTTTGTTGCAAATATTTCATCCTGAAATGACCGACCTGCTTTGCATTTTCTCACTTTGTTTCTTTACACATTCTGGGCGTTAGCTGGAGCTCTTCAGCTGACGAACCTCCCTCAATGGTACAACAGCTGCACCCCCTTATCTCCTGGCTGTCGAGATGAGATACCAAAGGTCCCTCATGAATGGGAGCCTCACAAAGGCCCGTATCGGATCGCGCATCAGAAACGAGTGCGCCGCAGATTTTTTTTTTTTTATACGTAACTCAGTAAATTATTCCACGATTATTCAGAGCGTGATTAAATCCGAGACGAAAGCCAATCACTCGTGGCCACGGCTGATTGTCACGTTTGATCGATAAGCGTCCTGTCGACGTCTGAATAAAACATGAAATGAAATGTAATTAAAATAAAAACAGAGCTAATGTCTCCATTAACCTTGCCGGCGGAGACAGGAGCAGGGGGAGCAGCGGAGACAGGAAGCCCAGCTCTGAAGGGGAAGTTCCCCCAAGTTCTCGGGTGGGGAATTAGGGCAATATCTATGGGAAGGTACTAGACTCCATTTATGTCATGTAACAGATGTTCCTTTTTTAATACATTCGTTGTTTCTCTTATGTGCGGTTTGTGTCACAGATCCCTTAATTCAGTTTTTCTATATAAAATGATGCATGAAAATCTGTAAAAGAAAAAAAGAAGTATCTCCAAAACTCGAAGGCAGTCTAAGAAGATGCTTAAATGGTCTTCATATTGGTTTAAAACTGTGACATAATGTCTTTACGTTGTGGCAGCATTTTCAATACATCTTCCGAAAATCACCCCAATATTTATAGCATCAGTCCACTGTACTTGTTGGCGGCTAGCACACCTTGCTTGGCTAATCAATACGTCGTCGAGTTCATTCATTAATTGAGCTGGTGGTGAAATTTAACGCATGTATGGACTGCCTGAGGTGCCCCTGAGGAGAGGTTTGGGACCTGAAGCGGCGTTCATCTAGCTATGGAACCAGACATCAGTAACTTTTTGGAGAATAGAAGAAATTCTTTTTGGTTTTCATTGAGTTACTGACAATTTAATTTGTGTATAATCTGCATATGTTATATGTAAGGAATCCACTGGGTTTATTGAACGGTAACAATAATATATCGGAAGGCAGCTCAAATACAAATTAAGGGCAGTTCTTCACCCCCTTTATACCCCAGAAGACCCTCCCCAACAAGGTGCTGTGTGTCGGTGCTGTGAGTGCAATTGCATATGAAGAGTGACCCCCTGGAGTGTGAGGGTCCTGAGGCAGGGAGGGGGCAGGGCAGGACGGGGATTTCCCGTGAGAGCAAATGGTAGCTCTGCCCACTTCTCTGGCCGCTGTAAATTCAGTTATTTCCATAGCACCCTAGTGGTGCCAGATGGAACCCCCATTCTCTCCCTGATTCCCCCCATGATCATAAATTGGTTACACTGTTTGTATTCAGATGATCAACCAAGAACATTGAGGCATATATACAGTATGTGTGTGTGTGTCTGTGGCCTGGTATCCCTTACCTTGTGGGGAACAAATGTCCCCACAACGTGATGAATACCCGTTGTTTTTTTTTACCTTATGGGGACCATTAGCATTTTTCCCATAGGAATGAATGAGCGGTCCCCAAAAAGTGTGTGTGTGTGTGTGTGTCTGTGTTTGTGTATATCTCAGCATGGGCACTCTGACTGGCCCGCGGCTACGCAGCCCCTAACGCAGCAGGACTCCATGCACTGTGTTATGAGACATTACTCTTGTGAACCTCATCAACATTAACTGCCATTTGTGCTACAGTAGCCCTCCCCTTGCTTGGTAGCACACGGGACACCCTTCATGCACATCTCACATCCATGAGTCCTGGCTGCCACACCCCCCCTCTCAGCAGGTACCCCCCACGGCTGACTGTGACACCCCCCAAGCCTTGTCGTTTCGGAGATACAGTGACCCAGTTATTTGACCAAAATGATTTGGCCCATGTCAAAGTGACTCAGATCTTTATCCCTGTCCATTTTTGTGCATTCAGCATGTCAACTATGGGTACCAAATCTTAGCTGGCAAGAACTGTATTGTTTCTTACAGTTAATAGTTTCAGCTGGATTCTGAATAGTGAATAGTGTGTTTATTCTAAGTACTATAAGTGTAATTCAGATCATTTAACGAAGTAGCTGATTTTAAAAATATCCCACATAACACCTATGTCAGCCTTGAGTCATTAAATCATGTGCGTGAGAGTGTGGCGTCCTGTTCAGGCTCCTCCCCCCATCCTGTGCTTCCTGGGACAGGCCCCACGTTCCATGGCGCCCCCTATGGGAGATGGATGGATACACGTAACGGGAGGAATCCTGGTAGCACACGTGTCCGGTGATGGTCCCAGTCCCTTCTGTTCTGGTGAAGGGGCAGGGAAATCTCCGCAGCGAGGTCGGGGGTGGGGAGTGGGGGCGGGGCTGGGGAGAGGCCTGGGGTGGTGGTGGGGGGGGTACAATTGACGTCAGAATGCATTCAGGAAAAACGCTGTCTGCGTGATTGCTTAGGGAGTCCTGTATTGCGACGCGGCTATTTTTAGAAGCCCGTTAGGGTAATTCATTTTCATGCGGAGTGCTTGCCTTGATGTCACGGCACTCCCTCTCTTTCGCTGTCGTTCCCCCTCTCTCTCTATCAGTGTTTCCCCACCGAATACCAGTTCCCATTCCATTTCTAAAAGGACCTCCCCGTCCATAAATACGTTAAACGCCATTTACCCACATCACCGAAGCCGCGCGTCGAAACGAAGGGAGCAATATCAGCGACCCCGTGCGCGTGTCGTGTCCCCCCCCCGGAATGACACCCTTGGTGGATGAAGGACGTGCGGGGAGAGGCTGTTTGTACTTAACTCTGTGTCGCAAGACATTTAGCGGAGAAAGGACTGGGCCATCTGCTCCCCTGAAGGAGGGCCCTTGCCTGCCAGATCAAGATCAGCGTTAAAAACGAAACAAGGAAGAAGCAGGATTAGCGAACGTTTTGTCGATGCGGCCCTGGCTAATCCTCGCACACCGCTCCTGAAGAGCACAATGCCGCTTTTCCTTTGTTTTTCATCAGTGGGAGCCCTAAGAAAGAACAGGGCAGGGGTCCAGCACCATAAAGCACTGCAGCACCTCTGCGCGCTGGTGTAGCTCTTTACCAAATGCAGTTCCCTGTGCCTTTCTCTATGTTTCTGTGTGCCTGCTCTCCACCCCTGCTACGGAATCAGACATTTTATGCCCCGTTCTCCCATAATGCACTCTGCCAAGAGTAATCTGCTGGGGAAATCCAACAGTCATTATTTCATCGATACTTATTTCAGCAGCAGGGGACGTGGGAGGGATGAGGGAGAGTTGGTGTCAGTGATCTCCTGGTATATGAGGTTGTACCCACGTTAACGGAGCTGTTTGACATCTAGGCTCAGTGCTGAGTAACACAGCGTTTTGGTCCCGCAGTGAAGGGCGTCACGTAGGGACGCAGTGTTCGAACTGTGCTGCGTCCCGGTTTCATTCCAGTGTGTTTTTTTCCCTTTTGGGCTGCCATGCTGTGTTCCTGGGATCTCCGTGGGGCAGATCCGTGCCAGGGACGTGCCCCAAGGTGGCTGCGGGAACTGGGTCATGACACATCCCTCTAAATTCAGATTTCAGTCTGAGACAGTTTTGGGGTGGGGGTAAATACATCATGGTGGGTGTCTAGCGGCTCCTACAGTGTCATTATAGCCCAGAACTACGCGGGACTGAAGACCAGACCCGATTAACACTGTCCCAACACGTTCATCCAACAGCCAAGCTCACCAACGACCGTTTCCACGGATACCGGTCGACTGACTTCAAACTGGGTGCACTTAGGCCACGCCCAGTTTTGAGACAGAGCTGGATACTTCATCACACATTATTTTGCGATACGTTTCTTTTCTCTTTTTTTTAACAGAAACATTTCCTTTGATATACATATTTATTTAATGCTCACTGAGTAGCTGAAAACATCAACGGTTTGGTCTTAATAAATCGTTCAGCAACACTTCTACAAAAAGTCGGTTGTGTCTGAGGGGACGAGGCTGGGGTGAGGATGCTCCTCTAGGGGGCAGCACTGCCCCCCCCGTGCATCCGCGGCCTGTACTGTAATCTTCCCATCAGGCTGCAGCACGCCCTATCAGCACAGGGCCATCTCGCAGGGACAGCCAGCCGGGCTCCGTAATTAGCAAATTGCCGTTTGCTTTCCGGTCCCTGTCACAATCCCGCTGGCGCCGTGGAAGTGACATCGAGGGGGATCGCTATGCACCGAAGCCTTGGGGGTGTCAGCCTGCATCGAGACAACGTACACCTGCCCCCCGCACCTGTCTGCGGGACAGCAGAGGCGAGCAACCTGATTCGTACCTGCAATACTAACTGTAGTTACTCCAAAGGCAGTGTATCTGTGTGTGTATGTGTAGATACACCCACATTTATACATATATTATAGTAATATATTACTATGACTGAATGTATCTATAAACAGTCTCACACATATACAGTATACAGTATAAATACCACACACAAACACACATATATAACCAGCCTTTAGAGGGACAGAGTGATAGCTTCTTCTACAAACAATACTATACAATACTCTGGGAAGCTAAGTGTTTGATACAAGAGTATATCAGTGAGTAGGGAGGCGGTGGGCTTGCAGTGGTAAAAGGGGGCTGGGTAACAATGAAACTTGCCAAGCGGACTAATTTCCTTTTGCCGGCCACTCTGTGAGGCTCACTGTCCGAAACAAAGTGAAATTCCTTATAGCGCGCACATGTGTAAACAAAACGAAATAAACTGTAATGAATATGATGAATTCTGTTTCTGAAAACTGCAAGCCACTCATTGGCCCTGTGCCATTTGATGCTAGTAGCTGACTGGCGATTCGTCGGGGACCGAGTGGCCATGTAGCATGTACACGTTTATTTATATGTACACAAATCTTTGTATACGCACCATTTGTACAACATTAATCATCGGGGCGGCTTGAAAAACCCCTCGATAGCACAGTCTCCCGGTTTTCCATTCTGCAACCTGCAAGATCAGACCTTATTTTTTAGGTATTCCTCTCTGTTCCATTCTTCACCCATAGGAACACAAATCAGATTACCGGATCACATGACGGAAACCCCAGCCACATTAAAAAAAGCAATCTCTTTGTGTTTCCATCCAAATTAGGAGATAGCCCTTGTTGTCATAGGAACAGACATCTCATGCTCGAGAGCTACCGGTTTGGGGTTCTTCAGCAATCTTTTGAAATTCATAAGAGCACAAACAGACAAATTTGTCCCCTAGTTGATTTGAAACTAATATTCTCATATTCAGGGATGTAATATCGGAACCAATCAAGTTGCTCTGAATAGTGCTACGGCATTTCATTAATTAATAACAAGAATTTTTTTTTGTTTTGAACCTTATATGATGCATCCGATTACTTCAAAGGAAAAATAGGCACCTGGGTTCTGTTAATTAGATCGATGGTTTGATGTGCTTTTGACCTCTGCCCTGTCGCACGTCTGTTTTTAGGTATTTATTAGTATTCACATGTTCTTGCTTCTGGATGCAAGAGAGTCAGGGTTGCCAGGAGACTTCTGTCAAGCGTTTCCTGGTTGCTAAGTATGTGCACATGGTTGCTAAGGGCAGAATGACAGGTCCTAACCATCCCGTGTCTGATTGGTCAGCTGGGGGAAATTCCAAGGTTAGATGTATTCATCGCGTGATCGGCTCCTCGCTGTTCCCTGTCCCCTCCTCCTCCGTTCATTAGCATGGAAATGAGTGCGGGGGGGGGGGGGGGGGGCAGGGGGCTTGGGGGAAACGCCAGCATGCTCGCAGGTAATAAACACGGAGGATTAATCATGCCGCCGTGACTCGGTTCTCCTCGAGGAGAGACGTGCGCTGGCCGTGTGCATCGTGACAAGGGGTGACAGCGTCACGGGTAGATAGAAATGCAGCCTGAATGAAAACCATGAGGTGGCGCCCCAGCCAGATCCCTGCATGATGCAGATCCTCTCAGACCCCCCCGCTCATTGCTCTGACCGCTGATTAAACCACCAGAGCACTGCCAGTACGCTTTGCAGTCTGTCCGGGTTCTCCTGGCGCTGGGACATCCTAGCGGTGCCTCCCAGCCGTGGCATTTGGCCAGCCGTCCCAGAAGAGGGCGCTACCTCCGATGATTGGATCTGTCCTCTGGGCCTGCCTCTCTGTCCGCAATCTCTGCTTATTCTCTCTCTTCCTTTTTTTTTTGGTCTTCTTCCCTCCCCAGCCCATCCCAACCAGTCCCAACAGCGACTCCACCACCCCGACCAGCACCATGGGCATGTCTTCCAAGATGGATGGGTCCAACATGCATGATGTCTTCATCCTGTCCCCCGTTTCTGGGCTCTATGGCGCCAGGTAGGGTCCTAGGCGGGTCCCGGTACATTCCTGCCTTCCAGCTCCTGACATTACCCATAATGCTGGCAGATATCCCCGCGTTCTGCTTACGCGGTTCCCCCCAGTGTTAATGGCTGCCCCTTTCTGCCCTTCACTGCAGGGACGAGATGGGCATTATGTCATGTGATGACATCAGCAAGTACGGCGTGGCTAAGTCGGGCATGAAGAGCTCCGACTCCCCAAGCTACTACCTCGACCACGAGAGCGGCAAGTACTACACGGTGATGGAAGGCGAGGGTCCGCCGCTGGGCCCCGAATACGACCGGGGCCGCTCCACCAGCGTCCGCCGGCGAGATAAGACCCCCACTCATGGTAAGCACCCCCCCCTCACACACACACCCCTTTCCAAGTTCCATCACCACCCACGGTACCCTCTGACTCCCCCCCCCTGTTCCGGCACGTTCTGCCTCACGCCGCATGCGCTCCTGGCTGCTGTGTATGATCCCGCTGTACGTTCCGCACGTCTCTCACAGGTTTTTTTTGTTTGTGGTGTCTGAACTGTGCTTAACACCTAAAAAGGGAGGAAGGAAAGAATGCTTTCTAGGGAAGGGGGCGCTCTCTTGCCGGAAAATGCCACACCTGCCTCTGTGGAGATAAACCTGGCGGACTGTAGTGACGTGAGGGATACTGCGAACTGGGAGGGGCCACAGATTGGTGGCCCTTACTCTGAAGGGCCCGCTCCACTTATCTGAAACCCGGGAAGAAAAATAGAGTGCTGCCCCCGTGCCCCCCCCCCCCCCAACATGCTGACCCCCTGCCCCCACACTTCCGCATACCCGCCTCTAGTCCCCCCCCGTTCACCTTTTCCTGCCCACACATACTTTGATCCCCTATAGCCCTGCCCCCCCCCGGCGAGACTCGCCGACTCTCCTTGGACTTCTTTCCAGGTGACCTCAGACCCGTTTCCATGCCGACGGAGTACAACTGGATGCCGGAAACAAGGGAGTCCCATGTATACAAGAGAGGTAGCCGAGGTGGGTCCCAGGAATCGGAGGACTCCCTCTGAATCCGAACTTGTCCCTAAACACGCATGCGACACGCATATGCCCCCCCCCAGCCCCATCCTCTGTCGTACCAGTGACTCACACTCGTTATCAGCCGCTGCCCTTCGTCCCGGTGGCAGCTCGGAGCTGTATCACATGCTGTCTGCATTCTGCCTTTCCGTGTTGCCCCGTGTTATGATGTAATGCCTAACGGACGTCTACACGATTCATTAAAATTCATGAACATACCGTGTGTCAGACAAACAAAAAACCCCAGTGTTTTGTCTGAAATGCCGAAATGAATGACTGAGCTATGGAATGCTTCTGAACATTTCAGAATGCCGTAAACCCCGCAAGGCAAAGCATACAATGATCAAAATCATAAATTTACCAGCCTTTGTCATTATTCGTTAATACCGCCAGCGATAAAACGGTATAGCATCATTATGAATTGAGCAATAAAACAAAACAACAGTGCAAAATCAGAATAAAAACAGCCAAAGAATACCACAAAAACGTAATAGTTTTCAAAGTCAAGTTTAGCCAAAAGCAAATGGAAAAATATGTAAAATTCTATGAATTGCATTAAACTTTTTTTCCCACTGACATCCTGTGCTCTTCTCCTGCACAGAAAATCACACGTCATGAGTCTTCTCATCTCCCAGCATGCTTAGCACCGAGAGACGCTGGTTGTTTAAGTTATCTTTGTGTATCTCAGGCCACATATAGCCCATTTATAATCCCACAGCCCTTAAATAATTTGAAGAACCTCACTGGCACACGATGCTGGACCTGTCATTTGACAGAACTATTTCACAACTTCTTATCTCAGAAATTGTTTAATTTAATATTTTTACTGTCATTTTGAAAGCCCATCAAAGCAGTCATTTCATTCATTTACAAAGCCAATGGAAACATAATTTTGTAGGGAGAGATTCCCTTTGACCTGCAAATTACTGTATGAAGTATTTAGTGTATGGTGATACATCTGGTTTCTTAAGTGCTGGGTGGTTGTAAAGATATACTGTGAAAATGTTTAATTATAAAAATGAATGTCATTTTAGTCATAGTACTTTTTTCTTACGTTGATATTATTATAACAGATTTTCTGCTATAGAAAGATCCTTACGCTCATGAAAATATTGTTTGATTGTCACTGACTGTGAAAATCAGCATCAGACAAGGTTTCCAGCAGCAATACTTACAGCAGCACGCGGGCAGGTCAATACTGTGCCCTGCTTTTTTCGAAATCCCCTTTGGGATGAAAAACAAAGTTTCTGTTTCAAGTCCTCCCCCTTGAAAACAGGTCTAGCGGAGCGCATCTTTGCGCTTGAATACTCCAGCTGCTGTTTTCCGTGTGCGAACAAACATGGAAATAAAGCTTTCTGCAGTCCAAATACAGTGGTGCAAAAAATTCCATTCTTCCAACCATCCATCCATCCATTGTCTTCCACTCATCCGGGTCCGGGCTGGGGGGGCAGCAGTCTTAGCAGGGATGCCCAGGCCTCACCTGCAGTCGCTTCCTTCTGGTCCACTGGTGGAATACCAAGCCATTCCCAGGCCAGCCAAGAGATATAATCTCCCCAGCATGTCCTGGGTCTGCCCCAGAGCCTCCTCCCAGTTGGACATGCCTGAAGTGCCTCCCCAGGGAGGCGTCCAGGAGGCATCTTAGACCGATGCCCAAACCACCTACACTGGCTCCGTTCCATGCGGAGGAGCAGCGGGTCTACCTTGAGCTCCTCCCAAATGTCCGAGCTCCTCACCCTATCTCTAAGGCTGAGCCCAGGCACCCTGGGAAGGGAGCTCATCTTAGCTCAGGACCGTAGGTGAGGGCAGGAACGCAGATCGACCGGTAAATCAATAGCTTCGCCTTCCGGCTCAGTGTAACTGCTGATGCTGCACGATCCATCTGTCGATCTCCCGCTCTCTTCTTCCTTCACTCGTGAACAAGACCCCAAGATACTTAAAGTCCTCCTCTTGAGGCAGTAACTCATCCCCCACCAGGAGAAGGGCAATCCACCCTTTTTCGGTCAAGAATCATGGCCTCGCACCTGCAGGTGCTGATCCTCATCGCGGCCGCTTCACACTCAGCTGCAAACTGCCCCAGTGCATGCTCAAGGTCAGACCCAGTGCATGCTCAAGGTCAGACCCAGTGCATGCTCAAGGTCAGAGCTCGATCACACTCATAGGACCATATCGCCTGTAAGCCAAGACATGACCATGAGGCCCCTGAACCGAAATCCCTCCACCCTTTGGCTGTGCCTAGAAATTCTATCCATAAAAGTTATTAACAGAATTGGTGACAAAGAGCAGCCCAGGTGGAGTCCAGCACCCGCTGGGAACAAGTCTCACTTACTACTGGCATGTGAACCAAACTCTCATTCCAGTTATACAGGGACCCGATGGCCCGGACCAACAGACCTGGCACCTCACACTCCCAAAGTCCCCCCCCCCCCCCCCCCCCCCCCCCCC